AACAAAACCAGACTAAACTCATATACTGAGGGGTTTCAGATGAGCACTGTGGAAGAGGCTTACAATTTGTGATCGTTTTTCGTCCAGAAGTTCACGAATATTTTTCAATTCCACTTCACGCTTCTCCACTAAAAATGCCAACTCATCGTTTTTCTGCTTGACAATCTCAATCTGATTCTGAAAAAAAAAAGCCATTCAATAACAATATAAAAGGAAAACTTAATTAAAACAATGCCATTTCGTTCCAGTTTATCTGTGATAATTAACTTCAAATGGTGGTTGGGGGCTGCACTGATGATTCCCACCCCAATTCACACAGAATACTGTCTGTATTTGCAGCTTAGGGATGAAACACAGATAGCCAAATTTACATTTGGCTTTCCCACAGGTCCTCGTTACATCTCCTGAACATTTTTTTACAACATATGTTCTCCATTATCTCTTTCACTTCTTATTTTCTTGGTCTTTCTTTAATTCTTAACTCTCCAAAAGCACAGAGCCGAATCTTACACTTTGCGCGAGTTGATGTCAAATTTATTATACAATTAAGAAGTAATTCCACACAAACTTATTCAAGCAATTTTAACGATATAGTTGAAATAATCCTATTACTGGATCGCTCCTTTGAGATTAGGTCTAAAATACCTTCAGCAATCTTCGGGAATGAAATACGGTTAATGCGAAAAACCTTCGAATTCGGACAAGAGAGCGTTTTTTAATGCAATTAAATATTAGAAAATAACGCTATGTGCTTAAGAATTCCTTCTTCGCACAGCTTTTAGCAAGAAAAATTCTGATTATATTTCAAGAGAACAGGAATTTACTTAAAATCACTCTGAATGAATACGCGAAATAATAATAATAATTAATACGGTAACCACTGTTATTGCCATTATTGTTATTATCATTATTATTATTATTCTTATTACTACTATTATTATTATCATTACTATTGTTATTGCTATTATTAATACTATTATTATTATTATTAATTACAACAATAACAACATTCCAAAGCCGACAAAAAAAAACGAACTGCAGCTGTCTGATCCTCAGCAAGTTTTTTCCATCGCTTACATTCGGATAACAAATGCTCTTTTTCGGTAGCCCAACTTTCCTTGCTTCTTTTTTCCGCTTTTTTCGCATGCTCCTGAAAATAATTCATTGAAAAACCACGGTTTTAAAAGTTGCAGCCAATTACGAAATATGCCAACGGTATTACTCGCTAATAATATCTGCGAAACGTCAGTACGAAAGATATGACAGAAAGCAGTAAGCAGCTGGGGAAGAAAGCTTTTTTCGTGAAATTCTGTCCAACGTCACCAAATTTAAACATTTCCAAAAATAAAACTTGATTACCGCATGAAAATTTAGTCTCTGATCAATACAGTTCAGAACTTAAAAACCACTAGAAAAAGACGAGTGAGAGTTACAATATTAGCTATTTTCAGAGAGGAGACTAATTTCCCAAAATTTCAGCCTTCTAGCTTCTCCAATCAAGAATTTGAAAAGGCGCAAAAAAAAAGTATTGCACCTAGATCGCTCATGGAATTTATGAAATTCCATGCTAATAATGAGCTCTAGCATGCACAATCCTAAACTCCACACAATCCAACCAGTACCCATCTCTTGCTCAATATATATGCGCTATCTTCATGGCAAGTTGCCAAGGTAGTTGTTTTTAAGTACCTAGCAAAACTAAGTCGAATTTTAGGGGGATCCGGTAAAAACAATGATGCGGGATCCCGTCACTACTATTGCCTAGACAGCTACGGTTAAAATACGAAAAAGAAAACAAAAAAATGCATAAAAACTAACATTCAATTGTGCTCGAAGTAATGCAGTTTCATCACGAAATCTGTTCACATCGTTGCGACTTTCAGTAACTTTTTCACGCAATTCATCTATCTGAAACAAATTCAAAATTAAATTTGCATTTTACATACCACAGGAATCCTGGAAATTTTTGGTACTAAAAAAAATAAACGGAAATTATATTCGCAGTGCCATTAGACCAAAACTATATAATCGATCAGTACAAAATTTAGACAAGACGTATATACTTCATCGACCGAAACGTCTTAATTCTCTCGCACTTATTTTTCCTGTATCAGCAATATTTCTACATCTTGCATTACATAGTTCATAGTTCTATCCTTGCCTTCTTTTTTATGCGTTTTTTGCATCTATGCAATGCAAAAACGCATAATGTCGAGGGGTTGTCTGTGTGTGTGTGTATGTTTGTGTGTATGTGTGTCTGTGTGTGCGTCTGTAACGAGTTTTCATCTCGAGATCC